AGGGTCACAAACTTGCACCTTCTTGAGGGAATTAAACCCAGGGGAGTACTGTGGCCAGTAGAACCCAAGGAAACACACCCCTCTAGTGGCATGTCTGCCAGATAAAGAGCGTACCTTCTGGGGACCTTTTGTCAACAGCATTGCAGTAGAACAGCTGCACAGTTCTGAAAATGCATGGCGGGTATATGTGCAGATGTCCTCGGGTGTCACCTGCCCTACTCACCTTATGCATTTCTTAAGTTGTTCTTTGTTAGCAAGGACTGGATGACACATTTCCACTTGAGTTTATATAAAAACTCTTCTGGTTTGCTTTTTTAGTTCCAACTCACCCTGGAAAAGAAGCCTTTGAGTTACCCTAAATGTTACCAGAAAGGTTTACCCTTTGAATCTCCAAAATCACTTACGTGTCCTCTTTATGCATCGGGAGCATAAAGTTCGAAGTTTTTACCTTCAGATTTTGCTGTCAAGACTTAACATTTCGCACTGCAACAAAGCACAGCAGTCTACTTATTAAGATGAGCTCTAGCTGCTTCCCAAAGCAGTTAACATGTTGCTGTACATAATGTGCATTAGAACTGTATTACGAGACAGACCCGACTAAAGAACCTTCAACTCAAGTGTCATAGTTTGGTCACAGCATTTTCTCTGATTATCTACCTGAGCAACTATACAAGCTTAACTGCCACACAGTTTCTTTCAAATGACCAGAATCAACAGAAGCATTGATGATTTTTAATCATTTCCATCAGTAAACAGCAGGCTGTGTATTACATAGCTCAGTCACCATGTGTCAGTATGCATTTACCATGCGTAATGCCTTGCAATTGTTTAATTGTCAGGGGTGGATTTCATAGAATTGTCAACAAGATTCTTATCAGGCGTTTCATAATGATACCAAGGTCCATCTCCCCTGTGTCTCATCAGTCTGCGTGCCTCCAGCTCCATCAGCCTAAAAAAGAACAACAGACACATGCAACAGGAAGTTTACTTCATAATTCATTTATATCATGGATCATACATTTATCCATGTTTACCATCAGGGTGTTACTGACAACAGCGATCAGTTTAGCATCTATGGTTTATAAATACTACTGAAACATAGGTAATACCAAAACATGAAGGTTTCAACTAAAACATGAGCTATTACATCCTTCTATTTAAATTTTTGTCAGCAAGTCATCTCACAAAATCACAGAATCATTTGGGTTGGAAGGGACCTTAAAGACCATCCAGTTCCAACCCCCGTGCCATGGCCAGGGACACCTTCCACCAGACCAGGTTGCTCCAAGCCTCATCCAGCCTGGCCTTGAACACTTCCAGGGATGGAGCATCCACAGCTTCTCTGGGCAACCTGGGAGTTACCCAGAGTAATAAAAATAGTAATAAAAATACTTGCAGGAGTTCTGTCACAGGTTCTTGCTTAGTAAGGGGCTGGACAGTTTTGATACAACTTTCAACTAAAAATAAATAGGAGCAAGAAAATCAGAAGGAAATGTGATGGTAGAAGGAGCTATGCTGTCTGGGTCCCAGTAGCAGCAGTTTGTGGAACTTGGACTTTCTTCTACCGCCGCAATTACTCTGAGTAAGTACAGAATAAATTCAGCACAACTATGTTGCTGCTGCCCACAAATTTTTCAGTAGCAAGAAGGAACATAACCAGTCCCGTAAACTCTCATTCCGCTACTCATCCAGCTGTCAGCATTAGCAGAGGCAACAAGAGCTGTCCATTTCCTGGCTCAGGACGACAGAACTACACCTTCATAAATATGAGCTGGTTTCAAAAGACACTGCTGTTTCTCAAGACCGCCCTTGGATCCTGCCAGTCCTGGTCATCTCCACACCGAGAAGGCAGGGACTCCAGAGGCTGTAACTTCCACTGTGGCACCAGCCAGTGCAGCAAGCACTCCGGGTCAAGCGATAAATGGATAAGCATCCTATCTCAGCATCCAACATCCCATCTCAGTACCCAGCTCAGTACGTTAACCAAAACAAAACTCTTGCCCACAGTATATATCAGCATTTTAAGACACTTCAACTGTGTAACATACCTCAGTTCAGTTTTCTTTGCTTCAACATCAAGCAAAGCCATCTCCTTCTCATAGTTCTTTTCAGGGGGGTCAAGGAGGTAACGAGCTATCCAGCGACTTATAGGGTGCTGGAAAATAGAAAAGCAGAGATTATTCATGCAATTTCCAAGTAGAAATATCATCAAAACTAAATCGTTATGCGTGTTCCCCATCCTGAAAACGTCACCAACACTATGCGTGCTGCCGCTCAAACCATAATAGTAAAGTTAAAAACATGCTGAACTATTTCTAAGACCAAAACCCTAAAAAGCTGTATTTCTTCTGACATTTTTAAAGCCAAGATAACCTGCAGACGGTTGTTCTGTAGCAAAAAGAAAAGTTCTTGGAAGACATGTGATTTATTTTCTCCCTGCTGAAGTTCCTTACGCTGCCGCTGTAATCACAGAAATGGACTCCAAACCTCTACCCATCAGCAGCATGTTAAAGTTTTGCTTTCCCACAGAAGTCATTTCACCAGGAACAAGTCTAAAGGAGTTGAAACAGTCATAACAGTGTTGCTGAATTCAGTTACTTCCTAGCAAAACCAAAAAGGTGCTTGCAGCAAGAAACCAGGGACTTATTTTAAGAAAATACAATGAAATAAGTATAAGCTTGAGTTTCTGACTCTCAAAATCTTCAGTTCTAGATATGAAAGCATGTGTGATGTTGGACTTGGAAACAACGCTAGCGAACAATACAAAAGAAAGTAATGTCACTTTAAAATCCAGAATACTGAAGATGCTGTAGTTACAGAGCAAGAAACAGGGACAAAAACTGCATGTGAAGAGTGAGGAGAACAAAAGACTCTTCTTACTCTTTAGGATTATTAGAAAAGAATCGTTGGCATGTTGCTTCAGTGGTTTACTCACATGAAGTTACAGATCATCTACATCTACTCGTGTCAACAAACAGATTTCCTACAGCGACATGCATGTTCCATAAAGCTGAAAAAAGCAAGTTTACCAAAAGCATAACTGGACAATTCAGGTTCTACTACACTGACACCCAGTGAGAGGGATATGGCCATCCTCATTATCACACTCCACACATTTTACTCCCAAAAGTATCATCAAGAGGAAGCTGTCTGTAACATGCTGCCCGTTTGGTGTTGTACTCACTTTGTAGTACTCCCAGTACTCTGGAACATAACCTTCGGGAATCTCCGCAAGTTCAGCTTCCCCTGACAAGGAAAGGAGGGGAAGAACATTTACTTCAAGTAACTAAGTACCGTATATTCTGCCTTTCACATTAGGAAAAAAAAATCATTATTTCACATGGAGAGTAATGAATCCCTTGATCTGAGCTTTATTCAGAAAAATTGGATTTGCAGTTTTTCCAGACACACCGTATGGACCTAGCTGACAGACTTTAAGCCACACAACAGAATGGAGGAAATTAGCAGCCACACAGAAGAACTAAGATGAATCCCACAGAAATGCCCTTTAATGTATATGAGCTGAAAGCATGGATTTTTCCTAATTTCTCTATTAAATTAATTCCATATTATTATGGTAGTAGATTTAAAACATGCACTGCCAAGCAGAATTTTTACTTTTTTGCGAGATAAGAAGTGACAGTTGCAGTGTATGCAGCCCTCTAAAGTCTGCACACCAGGGTAATACAGACTCCTCCTTTGAATACAGGCTCGCTAAACCTCACCGATATTGGAAAGACTGCCCAAAGATGGAAATCTTCCGTTTTTAGAAATGTGGAAAGCTTTTTAAAAAAAGAAACAGCTACAGGAAAATAAAAATACTGGCAACGTCTATGTACTTGTCAGGCCTATTACATCATCTCCCGAAAAGCAAGCCTCAAAAGATCGCTTTTCCCTACCCAACACGATTAGTTTTCATTTAATAATTCTGACTGAGTACTTGGCTTAGTCATGACAGAGCACTCACCAATGAAGATGTTGACATACGTTACGAATAGTGCCGCTGGTATTCCCGTCAGAAGTATATAGAATCTCTGTACAGGGGGGGAAAAAAAAGTGGGGGAAACTCAGAAGTCTGAAAAGATTGGGTTAGTCTGAAAATGATATAACAGGCAATAAGTCTTAGATTTGCATTCACAGGTTAGATGGGGATGTTGTATGTAAAGACACACTGCGCCTTCAAATGAGTTAATTAACAAAGCAGAATACAGAAACGGCGATGCCGTGTCAGCCCATGAGCCCACTCGGTTCAGCTTTCAGTCTCCTGGAGAGGTCAGTCTCTGCAAAGCAGACAGTAAGGCTTCCCCGAGCACTCGTCTCAGCATCTTGCGATGACTGGCTTCAGCACCTAACGGTACTGAGGCACTAACATCCGTGCAACACAATCCAGCATAAATACACCCCGCTGGCTCTGGTGACTGGGGAAGACAGATCAAGGCAGCCTGATCACACCAAGGGAGCTGTATCACGCTGGCTGTTACCCGCTATAATAGGCTTTATCCGAAACCTGGCTTTTTAGGGGTCAAACTCAGGTCAGGCTTCCCATGTCTGATCTCTGGTATTAGTGATTTAAGTAACTGAAGGCAAACCCTGCAAGGAGTAACCCAATACATTTTAGAAAGGAGGATGGAGCAGAAAGCATTTGTAGGTTAGGGGTATATCAACACAGACACGCAGGTCAAGAATGCTGCTGCAGCATCACCAGAGTACCTGTCACAATCTTGGCCATTTAGCCAATCTTTTTACTTCCTTTGGCCCTAATTTTACAACATATGGGAAAAAAATCTTTAGAAGGAGGACTGGAAATGTTTGTTTATGTGAATATTGCCAACCCCATCTTAGATGCTGTCACGTAAACAAGAGAAAACCGTAGGTTAGACACTCTGGTACCATCTGCAAGGGATGTGTTATACCGGATGTAAGAGAATTATTTTAAACTCACCAACAGGTTCAGAAACCGGGTGTCATAAAAACTTGTTGCCTTGATAATAAACATTCTCTTCCCATGGCTGCTGCTGTGTCGTACAGGAGCTGAAAACGGAAGCAAAGCGTGATGGTTGTCACTCCCTTTGGTGATTGCAGCAGGATAAGGTGAAGAAGTGTGTGGAAATTACAAAAAAATGGAGCATACGGTCGTTCGGGGCTGGTGTGCTGCACGCTACCCAGGTTCCCAAGAGCCCAGCTCAGCTCTTTTGGCTAGACGGAACCTATTTTTCTTCTAACTCGAGACGCAGATCTATTGATAGCTGCAAGTCCCCCCAACACCACTGAAAGTCTTTACTCGGGGCCAAGAGAAGGCGCAGCGTCGCGTGCCGGGGGGCT